TACGAACAAATGCTGGAGAGGGTGTGGAGAAAAGGGAACCAACCCTCTTGCACTGTAGGTGGGAATGTAAATTGATATAGCCACTATGGAGAACAGTATGGAGGTTCCTTAAAAAACTAAAAATAGAATCACCAGGGCTTCCCTGGTGGCGCAGTGGTTGAGAGTCCACCTGCTGATGCAGGGGACACGGGTTCATGCCCCGGTCCGGGAAGGTCTCACATGCCGCGGAGCGGCCGAGCCCGTGAGCCATGGCCGCTGAGCCTGCGCGTCCGGAGCCTGTGCTCCGCAATGGGAGAGGCCACAACAGTGAGAGGCCCGCGTACCGCAAAAAACAAAAACAAAAACAAAAACACAAAAATAGAATCACCATATGACCCAGCAATCCCACTACTGGACATATACCCTGAGAAAAGCATGATTCAAAAAGACACATGCACCCCAATGTTCATTGCAGCACTATTTACAGTAGCCAGGTCACGGAAGCAACCTAAATGCCCATCGACAGATGAATGGATAAAGAAGATATGACACATATGTACAATGGAATATTACTCAGCCATAAAAAAGGAACGAAATTGGGTCATTTGTAGAGATGTGGATGGACCTAGAGACTATCATACAGAGTGAAGTAAGTCAGAAAGAGAAAAGAAATATTGTATATTAACACGTATATGTGGAATCTAGAAAAATGGGACAGATGAACCAGTCTGCAAGGCAGAAACAGAGACACAGATGTAGAGAACAAACATATGGACACCAAGGGGGAAAGCCGGGAGGGCAGTGGTGGTGGGATGCATTGGGAGATTGGTATTGACATATGTATATTAGTATGTGTAAAACTGATAGCTAATAAAAACCTGTATAAAAAAAAAAAGCGATAACAGCAACTCGATTGGCTGTATGAATCTGAATTTTATTAACAATTCTTGAAACATATAATCATATCTCCATTTGAGAAATAAATGTCTCATCTTGCAGCCTACAGAAACCGAAAACCATCCTTCAACCTTAGCTGAGCCTATAAGAAATATAAGGCAAACACTTGGAAGCCACACAAACCAGGTCACCTGCTGCTACCACTAAAATACTGGGGATATGGGAGGCTGTTGCCAGTCTCTATAACCAAGGAGTTTATATCTGAACATCCACGTGGGACATACAAGATCTTGGATCCCTACAGAAGCAAGGACTTGGAAATGAGATTCTTATAAAAATCCCTGAGACTCCTAACAGAGTGACAGTCTCAGTGAAAAGGAAGCTAAAACAGTGCACAGACCAAAATAAACCAGTGAACCAACACAGAGTGATGACAAGGAAGGATGTTTGGTTTCAACTAGGTGTAGAGAGCCTGCTGTCATCCTGAAAATTAGTATACACAGGGAATGCGTTTACTTTGTGTGCAGTAAGAAAGTTCGTTTAGGACATTAAACTCAGATTAAGTTCCAGCTAATGTTTTCCCTAAGACATGCTTTGAGAGGAGCTGCCCTCAATCCACATCTGGGAAAGTTTAGCTGAAGATAAGTTCATAAAACAAATTTATAAAATATACAAAGAAGCCATGAGCCAAACCAGAGAAGACAAACAGCAAGATTAGAAACCTCCCTCTGCCAGAAGAATTTCAAATAATAGTTTTATATCAAAACAGATAATGAACGTAAAAGATAAAGAAAAAAAATCACTTTTTTTTTTTTTGCAGTACGCAGGTCTCTCACTGCTGTGGCCTCTTCCGTTGCGGAGCACAGGCTCCGGATGCGCAGGCTCAGCAGCCATGGCTCACGCACGGGCCCAGCCGCTCCGCGGCATGTGGGATCTTCCCGGACCGGGCCACGAACCCGTGTCCCCTGCATCGGCAGGCGGACTCTCAACCACCGCGCCACCAGGGAAGCCCACTATTATTTTTAAAAGTGGAAAAGTTCACGTTACACAGCATGCATGGCACACAGTATATTCACTCATGAAATTGCACAAAATGAATTCCTGAATGCTGAGCAGGGAACGTTTTTCCACAAGTTCTGAAATTTTCTCTTCTTCCCCACCAAGTATAACGAAACCATAATAAAAATTCCTAGGACTTCAAGAAATCAATTAATACAGGGACTTCCCTGATGGTCCAGTGGTAAAGAAACCATCTTCCAATGCAGGGGACGCGGGTTAGATCCCTGGTCGGGGAACTAAGATCCCACATGCCGCAGGGCAACTAAGCTCACGCACCTCAATGAGACAGCCCACGTGCCGCAACTAGAGACAGAGAAGCCCTTGCGCTGCAACAAAAGATACCGCATGCCGCAACTAAGACCCAACGCAGCCCAACATAAATAAATATTTTTAAAAAGAAATCAATTAATACAGATTTTTGCACATTTAATTATTGAAGTGATCATATGAATCAAAAGTCTGGCCCATCTCTGAGGCTTTTCAGAGTACCCTGAAGATACAATTCTCGTTTTATAGGGTTTGCCCTTCAACTCCTAAGCATCCAGAATTGCTGCAATTTGCTCCAGTCAGAAATATGATCTAGAATGGTGGCAAGAAAATGTTTTCTAGCAGAAGTAAGAGAAGGGACCATACATCCTAAGTCTGACTTTACTGCTTTAAACAAGTATCTTTATACAAACTACTGCCTATTTCTATGCATCACACCTGTGAAAAGCAAATGGTTTCTGAAGCCAGCTTTAAAGTGTTTCATCCTCAGGCAGAGACAGTAAGAACTATTCTCAAAAGTCAACAACAAAAGACTGATATCCAAACCAAACTGTTACAATTTTAATATCCTCTCAAAGTCAACAAGGTACGCTAAATAAGTGCAAAAAAGACGGGAGTCATTAAGCATATGACAATTTCAGGTCGATATTATCTAAAAGAATGATGATGAGTTAATTTTCACGGTTAACTTTTGTAGCAATAACATTAAAAAATATTAACACTGAAATCAGAGGGCCAGGAATGTTTCTGGTAAGGCTTACAATTTAAAAAATGCTAGAGGTGCATGGGTTCTTGAGGTTCATTTACTTTGAATTTTGAAGAGTGTAAGATATAAAGGGAAATTACAGAACTTCTAGTTCCTTTAAAACACATTCATAGGTTAAAAAAATCATGAAACTAGAAAAATGCCAAGACACTTTCCTTCCTGACATCACTAACCTCTACCTCATCCCTAATCATGGCAAAAGACAGTTCTTTCTTTTAGCTATCTTCTGGTTTACTGCTGAATAATCTATATTCTTTTACTAAGGTGCTGGTGACTTATATTACTAACTCCAAGAGTATTTATTTGCATTTCGAAAAAAATGTACCATGGTATGAAGACAACTTAACCCCAAATTCTGTTTGTCCATTTGTCCCTGGGGGCTGTCTTGCAATATCAGGCCACCTAAGTGACAAACTGCTTAAAAGAATGAATGAATGTCAGGGATGAGTAGAAGTGGGATTTCAGTGCAGAACTTTGCTTTATACTGATTTCAGTTCTGAGATACGGTCTGTATCTTTGACTGTATTCCCTATGCCTGCTATTCTTTCTATTATTTGTTTGGATCTTTTTTCCAAAACATTTTTCTTCAATAGCTTCTCCTATTTTTGGAACTACCACATCACTAACTGTTGAATGACAACTCACAGGCAGGTAAATGAAGGGAAAAAAATGAAGGGTCAAACAAATTACTATTCTCCATCAAACAAGTGTTCTTTGGAGGGGCATTCACCTACAGCCACACCAAAAGTAAGACTGTTTTTTCAAAGAGTTACAAAAAAGCCCCAAGTCATCACCCCACCAAGGAGGAAGTTCCTAACATTGTGAAGGCACTATGCTTCTGGAGCATACTGATGCTTACAGAGGCCAGTCTCTTAAGGCAACAGGCGATTTATAAATATTTATGATAAATTTCTCCCAGTCCCAACTGCCTGGCATTGTTTGCTTTTCTGCTCTGGTTTACTGTGGAACTAGGTGTTCTACAGTTCCAAAGAACCAGACACCTCTCAGAGACCTTCATGAGGAAATTACCTCGAGAACTGAGCTGGGTGGGAAAACCACATCTTAAAAGTAGAGATCAGGTTTTTTTGACTTGCCAAGTTTCTCAATTAGACAGGTCACAGTAGGCAATAAATACTGGGGATGTGGGTGACTAAAACATCTCCAGTACATATCTAGATCAACTGCTGGGGGAACAGTCATTTGTCAAATTGTATAACTCAACTTGACAGGTACACAGAGAGCAAATTATACAGTGTAGGGCAATGTTTCAGAAGATGGGCTATGCTGACTTTTTTTTTTTTTTTTCTCGGTACGCGGGCCTCTCACTGTTGGGGTCTCTCCCGTTGCAGAGCACAGGCTCTGGACGCGCAGGCTCAGCGGCCATGGCTCACGGGCCCAGCCGCTCCATGGCATGTGTGATCTTCCCGGACCGGGGCATGAACCCGTGTCCCCTGCATCGGCAGGCGGACTCTCAACCACTGCGCCACCAGGGAAGCCCTATGCTGACTTGTTAAAAGCCATATTCTTATGGACTACTGACATAAGAATAGTTGATAAGCCTCAGATAACTTTTGATTAATATTATAAAAACCTAATGGTTAGATCCAAGATTCCAGGTGATGCTACATTAAAAAGAAATAATTTTGAATTCAGAAGAATACTTTGACAATATTAATGATAAAGTAATAATGATATAATTAATATTTCAGGAAAAATGAAACTTTAAAAAGAAAAAGCAGAAGAGTATTAAACCTATCTGCGAGTTAATCAGAGAGGGTATTTATTTTTCAGAACTAGTTATAAACCTTTGACATTCTGATTGCTATTTTCCTTAACCCAAGATTAAAGAAGAGGTCTTGCATAGAGGAATTCTTTTAAGTTTAGGATTGATTATGCTTTAAAATTCCGAGAAGACAGGATTAGGGACTATAAACCATGCTGGTTTTGACTGGTTTCCAGCCCCAAAGCAACAAAATTAACCACGGAGGAAATGATTCATATGAACGAGGCAAAAACAAAAAACACGTGTATGGTGACATATACCTTGGAGGCATTTTGTATATTTGAAATTTCATTTGCATTTTTAGACAACGGAGTACTCTTTGCTGGATGCACTAAAACATAAACACACCAACGAAGAAATCAGACTAGGAATTACAGCATTCATTTGATGTTTCTGGAAGTCAAGGAAAGTAGCTAATTAAAAAATAACTCGGGCTTCCCTGGTGGCGCAGTGGTTGAGAGTCCGCCTGCTGATGCAGGGGACAGAGGTTCGTGCCCCGCTCCGGGAAGATCCCACATGCCACGGGGTGGCTGGGCCCGTGAGCCATGGCCACTGAGCCTGCGCGTCCGGAGCCTGTGCTCCTCAACGGGAGAGGCCACAACAGTGAGAGGCCCGCGTACCGCAAAAAAAAAAAAAAAAAAAAAAAAAAAAAGTAAAATAAAAAAAAATAACTCAAACACTGCTTCTTTTTTATGTTCAACAAGCAAAATATAATTAATAACAGAATAGCTTACCTGGGACTGGGCTCTTTCTTGAACTTAAGTTCTGAGAGTCCATAATCTCTTCTGTTTGCCCATCTGCTTCTACCTCTATTTTGTTCTGAATCTCTTTTGCATCTTCATTAAGGCAAGTTCTTACGCTCTCGTCCTCTTCTAAGACTCTCTGAACTGCGGTGGGACCACTAGCAGTACTAACGTTAGAGGCAGCCGCAGGAACAATGACTGGTGTGGGAGGAGGAGAAGCTGGAGGAGTTGGAGGAGACGGAGAAACGGAGGGAACTGTGGAAGGGGCGACAGGAGTTGCAACACTCTCCACTTTCATTTCTTCTGGGGGATTTTCCAGAATCTCCAATTCAAGAGTCAATGGCAACACCTCCTGTTTTACTATTTCCACAATGCTTTCCGTGGCTGGTAATTTTTCACTAACTCCATTCATTTCATTAATTAGGTTAGTACTAGAAATCAGCGGAATATCATTAGGTGCTACACTACAAGATTTCTTGCATATATCATCGTCAATTTCATCTGTTGGTGAAGGATCTGATGCTTCTGTGCAAGATGTGGGGCTGGGTATAGGAATTGTGTCTTCTTTTGAGGAAGAGAGTTCACATCTGTCATCGGCAGCAGTGGTGAATACTGGCTGGCTGCTAAGAGCAGCAGGGGTGGGGGAGGCAACTGTACTTCCAGCAAGTGGAGGAAGAGTGGCAGGCGATGGAGGCAGAGTAAGCTCTGGTATGGCTTCTACTGCAGTAACCTCAGATGTCTGGCCTGCTTGTTCTTTCTTCTCTCCACTAAGGGCTAGCCTAAGGACTGGGGAAGGAGTCTTTAACACTGGATCTGGTTTTGGCTTCTCTTCTGGGAAAGAAAAAAATGAAAGACATTTAGGAATAATTTTTGGATCAGAGATTGTATTGTATTATTTTAGGGTAATTCTTTTAATCTCTTACTCTAAAACATGGGCAGCACAAGACAGATCAAAATATTACTTATTTTGCCACTCCAAAAACATGGTCATATTTTCTTCTCTATTTTCCACTATTACTTAACCTCCAATACATATATAAGGTTTATTTTGAAGTAAGAGAAGGAATTAATTCACCAAATGACTATGTCAAGAACACAAAGGGAAAATCTAATCAAACCTGTAACTAAAACATTCTCGGGATGGGAATGGGGCTTTTCTTTAAGGTAGAGAAAGCCTTCACCTGTAGAAAATTTTTCTACCAAGGATACACTATAGAGACAGGACAGGACAGTTCAGGGGCAAATAACTGGAGATTAAATTATTAGATACAGATATTATTTTTTATTCTATATATTTCTGCATTGGGGAGATTTTTATAAAGAACATGTATTGCCTGTATAAAAAACTGGTTTCAATAAAAACTATCATGGTGTCATTTATTATCAATGAAGTTTATTATCAGTGAAATCAAGTTCCTGAACATAAAAATTCATTTAGAAATTAACTTTCATTTCTTAAAAGAGGCATATAACTAGAAATAATGTTAAGGAATAAAAATGGAAACATATCTTGTATCTTCAGTTGTAAAAAAAAAAATTCTTTAAGGAGAAACCAACGTTAATATTCAGATAATCAAGTCCAATTAAAAATAAACATTATATGTTAAAATAATACAGAAAATGTGCATCTGTATATAGACAAAGAATGACAGCAAGAGTGAGAGAGATAAATTGATAATCATAATAAAGGTTAATAAATTGATAATCATAATAAACCAGAAAAATGAAAGGAAAGCTAACTCATGAAAATTTCTGTATTTTAAAATTCCAGGTAAACTGATACATGATTCATGCCTGGGAAGATGAAACCAAAGGAGATTTAGACTGGTTTCCAGCCTTGTGTTTCCTTAGTGGAATAAACAGGCTGCAGTGGAAAAATAACTATTCATGAGCATGTTCATCAAATGCAAACAAAAATTTTAAGCATTGCTGAAAGACAATCTAAACTGAAAGGGACTTTACTTTCTCTGCCAGAAATCTTTATGCATAAGTGAAATTGAGTGTTTACAATAACTTTTAGTTAAGTAAGTCTGTCAAAGAAAATATGCTCGTTGATCAGATAAACAGATGGTAAAATTAAGCTGTTAAAGGCTAATTCATTCACTGCAACTACTTTTACTGGCCTTAAAATTCACTTTAATTGATGGGCTTAGAGGACAGTGTTTCTTTAACTCTGCCTATTTACTGTAGTGGAGAAATAAGATCAATACGCTCTGAATGCCAAATACTTCAGACTAAGTTGTCAGGGCAAGAGACAAAAACGTTCAAAGAAATACGTCTATTATATTTATTACATATATGTGATATATATAAAATAAATACGTATTTATTAAAATATCCCTGATGAAAATACTTTCCAACTCAACCAGAGTAACTGCTACGTGGGTAACCCAGATTATAAGATACCACTATTAAAAAGCACATCAGAGTATTACCCTTTGGGACTTCCCTGGTGGAGCAGTGGTTAAGAATCTGCCTGTCAATGCAGCGGAAACGAGTTTGATCCCTGGACCGGGAAGATCCCATATGCCGCAGAGCAACTAACTCCGTGCACCACAACTGCTGAGACCACACGCCGCAACTACTGAAGCCCACCCACTCTAGGGCCCACGTGCCACAACTACTGAAGCCCGTGCACCTAGAGCCCGTGCTCCGCAACAAGAGAAGCCACCGCAATGAGAAGCCTGCGCACCGCAACGAAGAGTAGCCCCCTCTTGCCGCAACTAGAGAAAGCCCGCGCTCAGCAACGAAGACCCAATGCAGCCAATAAATTAATTAATTAATTAATTTTTAAAAAAAGGATATTACCCTTTATGACCATTGAATGAAACCTAGATGAATTAAATTAAACAATAGAAAATAGTAAATCTCACATTAACAATCTAATAAGAGTATGTCAATTCAATTATTAATTTTGGGAAATAAAATTTCTGATACTAAAAATATCAAACAAAAGCAGACCTATGACTGAAACTTCTATATACTCTTGAGAAATAGCTAACATTAATAAAGAAAATTAGAAACAAAAAAATTTAATTATTTTGAGAGCTCCTTATTCTGAAATAAGTCCTTTAATTCATTCATTAAACTTTTACTACAGAAAGCTGAAAGGTATAATAGAGTAGATCTAAATAAAGAACACTGATTTTATTTCTCTAAGAACTTTTACTATTAAGAGTATGTTTTTCAGAGCCATGATAGTTTGAAATCTAATATACTGCATTCAAAATGTTTATACCATTTGGCCATTTTTAGGAATTTGCAGGAATTTCACCTTTAAGAATTTTTTTCTAAGGAAATAAACACTGAAAAGACAGAGGTCTAGAATATTTAAAGCAACAATATTTATAATAGAAAGATAAACTAAATGTCTAACCATGAGGGACTTATTAAAGAAATAATGGTCTGGGCATATAATGGTAATTATTGCAATCATTTGAAATAAGCTTTTAAAAGAGTATTTAATTATAAAGAAAGCTGTTTATAATAAAAGACATGTTTTTCTAAAAAGCAGGGCACAAAACTGCACGTGGAGCATAAGCCTACTGGTAACAAAAAAAATACAGAATACTAACATAGATGCATATGGGGAAGTCTAGAATTACATACAGGCTATTAACAATGGTTCTGGATAATGACATAAGAGATAATTTTTCTTTCTGTTTAACCATAGTTTCTATAACGAATGTCAAATTTATAAGAAAGAAAAAACTGCTCCCTTTTATTCTCATAGAGTGGTGGAACCAAGCTCCTAGATGGGCGCCCTTTGGCTGTCAGGAGCCACACATGACCGAGAGGGTGTTGCTATCATTTAATGGGGAGAGACCAAGAATGCTAAGCATCCTGCAATTTGAGGGACAGTCTCATTTGACAGAGCATAGTCCTGTCCTAAATTCCAAAAGAGCCCCAACTGAGCTACATTGGTACAACTGGTTGAATTACAACAGAATACCATTCGTTGAATACCTACTCTACATCAAGAGCCTTCAAAACACACTAAGACTAAGGCTCAAATAACTTTTATTTGTATTTATTTATACATACCATATCCTCAATACACTGAGCTGAATGTATTTTTTCAAACATCAAACAATCACTTAAGCTGTGTCTCTGGACTATCACACCAACTGAAGATTTTAATTCATTCAACAGTCTTTCTACAAGTCAAGTTGAGGTCTTCCTTGGGTTTTTATCAAGTACCAAAACAAATGGGAAATGGCATATTTGTCTGGAAACTTGGTCTTTATGTAACTATTCCAGCTGTTCACATCAAAAATTGAGAAAATCAGACAATTATGGCAGCTAACATTTATTAAGCACTTAATATGTACCAGGAAATGGATCAAATACCATATATACATAGTGTCCTTTAATTCTTTTACAATCACCAATGGGATAAAAACTATTACGTTCCTATTTTACAGAGGAGGAAACTGAGGGTTTTAGAAATTAAGTCACAGGTCCAAGGTCATATAACTAGAACCTAAAAATGATTTCAAATGCTAAATTCTTCCAATTCAAGAACCTAAAAATGATCTCAAATTCTAAATTCTTCCAATTCAGAAGGGAAAAGGGGGGGGGGTTTATGGAAAAAGAAGTATTTAGGTGAATCAAGCTGGTGGGAGACTTTGGGGCTAAAATGGGATCCCAGTACAAACCCTCAGTAACGAGACTTCCACCAAGAGAGAAAAACCAATCTGACTGCAGAATACAGAATCTATTGTTTCTGGGGGTAATATAACAATTTTTTAAAACAGTGCAGTTTTGTATCCTACTTTAATTTCAAAATGAATCTACAGTTAAGAAGAAATTTTTAAAAACTTTAACTGTTAAAAAATTCTCTGAAAAATGATGAACCCTTTCTAATGTTATTTGAATTACATATATTTAGTTTAAAAAAGAAAACTACTCTGAAAACTATTCTATATATTGACAAGCTATGGAAAGAATTAGAAACAGAAGATTAGAATTACTGAGTTTTCTGGAGAACAGCTGGTACTAGAGGAAGACAGCAGTAGTTCCAAAAAGTTACTATAAGCTCTATGAAATATACTTAAAACAGAAGTTTTTCTTTTCATCAAGGTAATGTCGAACATTTTCCAATTCACTCATATCTATATCAAACATCAATTTGAAATGTTGATTTTATTATTCAAATTTCCACTAAGCATAAAAAACTGAGAGGAAACAAAGAATTCTACATTCCTCCTTCTGCAAATCAAGGCCTAAATATGGTAAGATGCAGGTGTCTACCTAATCCAAAAATCTTAGGTCAGAGCTATCACCATCAAGATATGTTATGAATTCCTTGTATTGAAGCCCAGCTAGAGAGAGTCAGTGTAAAGGATATATTTTAAGGCCTCTCTGCATGGTAATTATTCAGTATGTTTAGCACAATTCTAACTAGCAAAAGGATTATAACTGTGCAAAAGTAATGACATTTTGAAGGGAATACCCTGAAAATTCTCCACTCAGATTAAAAATATTCTGAATTTTGACTCAAAATTGCTTGATCATTGGTGGTAGGAAGTAGCCTTCCACAATACCTACAAACTGCACTCCTGCAAGGTGAATGGCTTTAATATTAACAAATGTAACTTTAAGCATTTATGAGTCTCTAACTCTGAACATTGCTGAAAGAAGTATTTGACACTGCAACTTTTAGAAGCATGCCAGTTTAGGATTTATTACCTATCTTGTGGTTTAAAACTATTTCATAAAACAAAATTTAGGACTTGTCTCTTTTCAAGTCTACTAGGCTCTTGAATACTAAAGGCAAAGAACACCATATTATCTTTGCATGCCATAAAGAAACATTGAAACCACACATTAGAAGTCTGTGTTATCATCCTGCAATCCAGTGAAAAAACAATGCCACTAAATACCTCCACTTTGACTGTGTGCCAATTCCCAATGCTTTTTTTTTTTTTTTTTTTTTTTTTGCGGTATGCGGGCCTCTCACTGCTGCGGCCTCTCCCGTTGTGGAGCACAGGCTCCGGACATGCAGGCTCAGAGGCCATGGCTCACGGGCCCAGCCGCTCCGCGGCATGTGGGAATCTTCCCGGACCGGGCCACGAACCCATGCCCCCTGCATCGGCAGGCAGACTCGCAACCACTGCGCCACCAGGGAAGGAAGCCCCCCAGTGCTTGTTAAAGAATAATTTTTAGAAAGTACAGAAAGTATACATCAGCTATGGAATATTAAGGGGTTTGGAGGAATAAATAATTCAAGAAAACAGAAAACACATATGACTTCTATTCATTCTTAGAATGAAATCAGAAACGAACAAACTAACTTGCTTCCTTCTGTGTCTAATGAATTGTCTCCCAATTTTAGCTAAGGTCAACTTAAATCCAACTAGGCAGGAAAGAGAGGCTGTGATAACCCACTTTCTGGCATGAGATTTCCCTTAAAGTTTCCTATTTATAATCCAAGAGGCAGTAAGTGTACTTATTTCACCAAACATTCGGTACTTCATGTTCAAGGTCAACAGTAGAGACCTTAGTATGATTCCTGCATAATAGTACCTAACGGCTATAATTTACTAAGCGCTTTTCAAATGCTTGGCATGTCCCCACTACAACTCTGTGAGGCAGGTATTCTTCATTCCATTCTGTAACTGAAGAAATGAAGATATACAACATAATGACTCATCAAGACCAAACAGTGCTTGATGGATTCAGGATCTGAACTCAGTACTGTCCCCAACTGAGGCTACAGAAGCCAAACTTGTAAGAAGAAACATTTTATGTTTTTATAAATAGCAAGATACACACACACATGTTGAACTTACAAACAAAACTGTTGTTCTTATAAAGAAATATATACATCAATTTATTTTCCCCAACCTTGTTCCAAAAGAAACAGTTTAAGGCAGCTAAGCTTTTACCTATAAATATACATTGACAGTGAGGCATTAATACAATGTAGGAAAAATTTTTACTAATCATACCTACTTTACTTTCTTAGAGGTAGAACACTTTGATTTTCCATCTCAAAGCTTTGTTTAACAGTGGGTATCTAAATAATCCTCATGTTTTACTTTTATTCCTAAATGCTGAGGGCAATGTAATTAATTAAAAAAAAAAAAAGAAAAAAGAAAGAGACTAAAGGTAAGAGGGAGGAAAATAGTCATACACAAACCTTGCTTCTGGTCGCTAGCTGCAGTGACAGGGATGCTGGCAGCAAGATGAGCGCTCTCCACAGTCCCATAAACCACAGGGCTGTGCTCAGGGACCTGGCTGGGCAGCTGCTGGGATTTGAAGTACAAAAAAGGGTGATAATGAGCGTGCGAACATAAAAACTAGCAACATGGAACCCAAGGCAAGTGGGGAAGAAAAAGTAGGGCAAGAGATCACAAAATTAAAAAAACAAAAAACAAAAAACAAAAAACAGAAAGCAAGGAAAAAATATATAGGCCAGTATAATAAATTCAAAAAGTACATGGGAAGACAAGGAAGAAAAGGAAAAGAGGCAGCAGGAAAGGGGAAGGAAAAGAGATGATTAATATTAACCACAGCAAGAGAAGACAGCACAACAATCATTAGTACAATGCATTCTCCAGTGTTCCTTCTGTGGACAGACTTTCAATCTAACAGTTATGTCACATCTGAGAGAGAATTTAGCATCCTCCCAGTCAAGACCAAAGGGACTTGGTCAACTTCATTTATAAATTACCTAGCAAAGTAGTTCATCAGTCAAAAAGAGGACAAACAAAACATGATGGGTTTTGAAACCAGTTACTGATTTAAGAAAACAATACTGAAAGGTGATTCTTACCATTTGTCCATATAACCACGCAGGTGAAATACAACTTGGAAAGCCTTTAAAGAAACTTTCACCTTAAAATGTCTTTAGATTCTGGGTCAAGGATGATATCTTTTCAGAGTCTGAAATCTGAGTAAAGTATCTGGCTTTTCAGAGCTAAGAGAAAACTATCCTTTTCAATCAGCCAGTATATGGAATAAAAAATGCCCATCAAAATCCTAGCAGAGGAGGTTGAAAAAAATTGCAGGCATTGTTCAACTTAGAGGGAAAAAGAATTACACAAGAAAGAACAAGAACATTCAATCTGCATCACATTCCAGTTAGGTATTTGTTCTGGATTTGAGGGTTACACAAAAGCCACACAACAAAGCAGTGTCTCTCCTTGGAGATCTAAGGTCAATTTTTTGATAGCTATAATCGTCTACACTGAATTCTATCAGTGCTATCAGAGCAGAGCTCCCTGCACAATTCTGATTTTTTTTTTTGGAGGGGAAGGGGAAACTGGGGGTAGACAGGGCCACTCAAAAATGGGAGTTAATGAAAAATATTTTCGAGTCAGTGAGTCTCACATACAGTAGGAATATAAAATGAAATATATGAGTTAAACACCTATCATTTAGCATATGTCATTTAACTAACAATGCTTTTCACAATGTACAACATACAACTTATATAGGACTATATGTAATGTATAAAATAACATAAAAATGGGAAAAATAGTATTATCTCACCTATTCATTATAGGCCATGAAAGTACTCATATTCCACAAAAACTTCTAAATGAAGACCACTAAAATTATATTTCCGTATGTAAAAAATGAAAGAGTTTCTATTTTCACTTTGAATCACTGTCAAATGGATAGTACTACCATGATTACTCTACTCTGAATCCTTAGCTTCAGTGGGAAAAAATTCCATTATTAAAATTCAAAAATTAGGAAGGGTTCCCAGCTGTAAGTGAAAATAACAGTCACCCCTCTACACCCGCAGATGTGTGAACTGCAGATACACAGACACGATTGTACTAGCCATTAATACCTAAAAGACTTAAATATCCACGGATTTTGCTATCCGTGGGTCCTGGAACCAATCTTCTGTGGATACTGAGGGATGACTGTAGGGACTCAGTTCAATTCTATGGCTGAAAACAGCTCTAGAACAAAGGAAAGAGTCTATACTCTTTAATATTTATTAAATAGTCATCCACATAACCCAGGAAAGAAAGATCTGTAAATTGTGCCCTTTACCAGAAAGAAAGAAAATATTAACTACTCTAATAGGGAAACTAATAACCAATGAAAAAGGGTAACTGCTGAAAGTACGTCACCAAAATAAATGACATACATGGTTAAGGTGAGAGTTTTAAGACAGTAAAAGACTGCTGATACCTATAAATCTGTATAGATCAGAGAGTTTTTCAATCTAAGATTAAAATACCTTCAATCATGTTAAAAAGACAACTGTACAGACATTTTTCTAACAACAAAGCCCTAGGAAGATGTTATGTATAAAGATTTATAAGAAAGGAGTGAGATAACATGTTGGTTAGTTCCAAATCCAAGTATCTAGTACTTAGTCATATAGCCACGGAATGCTAGGAAAGTACTCAATTTCCTCAGCTGGGGACTTCCCTGGCAGTCCAATGGTTAAGACTCCACACTTCCAATGCAGGGGGTGCAGGTTCGATCCCTGGTCGGGGAACTAAGATCCCACATGCCACATGGCGCAGCCAAAAAAAAAAAACCACACAAAGGTAATCCTTAGCTGTAAACTGAAAAGAAACTAAAGATCCTACAGTGCCTTTCAGCTTTAACATTCTCTAAGCCTCTGACAGGACCAAGAAAATAACATACTAACATACAACATACATCAATACTTTAATTTTGTTTCAGACTAATTTTAATTTAGGATAATCTCAAATTTTAGCTAACTTCTAATTTCATCTCTTCTCAGGTGACATGATCAACCCTGTTGAGAATATATTTAATGAATTTCAAAATCACTGCACTTCTGTCACTTTCACTACTGGTAGGAGTTAAAATTTATAAAAATCAGACCGGAAGGGCAATTGATATCAAAACATTAAATAATTCAACAAAGATGCTCAGGAAGTCAGGTTAAAAGGTTAGGATTTATTTGGCAACATCACATGTTTCAACAGTTCATAATTTATGTCAATGCTAAATTCCCTCCCCACATCAAATTTTTTAAGATCAAAGCTCTGAGTGGCAGAAGAAAAAAATTCTCACTTTTCAAATACAATGTTAAGGAAGCTTATTTAAAGAATGGCAAGATATCAGATACTTGATAGTACCCAAGAAGTGAATTTCCTTTATGAACTCTACCTGAGAATCTACTCTGTTGACGATTTACATATTAAATTTGAAATACTGGCCTGAAGGGATACTGGTAGATGTGGGCCCACTGGAAGAATTAATCTTTTTAAAACAGAGTACCAACAGATAAAACGAGGCAACAAAATCTGGGATTGTCTTTAATATTCTTTGCACAACTTAAAATTCAATTCTCAAGAGCAGCCAAGAGGGCAGAGTAGAAAGACTCAGTTATCTCACTCATGAGCACACCAAAATCACAACTGCCTTCAAAACAACCATCAATGAAAAAGACTGGAACCTACCAGAAAAGATTTTCTAAAACTAAAGACATAAAGAAGGAACTAAAACAAGACAGGTAGGAGGGACAGACTCATGATATAATCAAATCCCATACCCCTGAGTGGGCAACCCACAAACTGGAGAATAGTTATATTGCAAACGATTTCCCATAGGAGTGAGAGTTCTGAGACCCATGTCAAAGTCCCCAGTCCAGGGGTCCTGCACCAGCAAGATGAAACCCCAGAGCATGTGGCTTTGAAGGCCAGAGCGGCTTAATTTCAGAAGCCCCATAGGACAGAGGGCAAAAGAAACTTCACTCTTAAAAGGGTACACACAAAATCTGATGCGCACTGGGACCCAGGTCAAAAGCAGTAACCTGATAGGAGCCTGGGCCAGACCTACTTGCTGGTCTTGGGCAGTCTCCTGGAGAGGTATGTGTGTGTGGGGGTGTGTGGCTATGGCTCACCCTGAGGACAGATACTGGTGGCAGCCATATTTGGGAACATTCTACTGTGTGACCACTGCTGCTGGTGGCTGCCATCTTCACTCACTAGTTCCAACACCTAACCCTAAATCCACACAACAGGCCTGTAGGCACCAGTGCTGGGACGCCTCAGGCAAAGCAACTCGGCAGGAACAGAGGCCCACGCATCAGCAGACAGGCCGCCAAAAGACGTCGTGATCCCACAGCCACCTCTAGACATGCGCCAAGACATGCCCTTGCCCACCAAAGGGCCAAGAACCACTTCCACCCAGCAATGGGCATGCACTGCCCTTTCCCTCCAGGAAGCCTGCACTATCCTCTAGAACAGCCTCATCCAACAGGGGGCAGACACCGGATGCAAGAAAACTATGATCCTGCAGCCTGCAGACCCAGCCCACTCACAGCAGGCCAGACCTTATCCTGGAACCAGCTTGGCCCAGGCCCCGTCCACTAGCAGGCCAACACAAGCTTCAGGACACCCTGGATCCCATACCGAACTGTGTCAGGAACTGGCTCCCCCACCAACGATTTGAAACAAGTTCTAGGATCCCTGGGCCCTTCAGCCAGACTTCAGGAACCAGCTCTGCACGCCACTACTAACCCCAGGCACTAATCCCAGAACCTGGTGTAATACAGGCAACAGCCTCGGAGTCTTTGGGATCCTGACTCCACCCACCAGTGAGCCGGCACTAGCCCAAGGGCCCCCTAGGGATCTAAAACAAGCCACCTCATAACCAGGCCCCACCACACAGCAGCTAGCAGCATCCACACAAGGTATGGCCTGGCAACCAATCACACTAGGGACCAACAAAGCCTCCCAGACCACCCACACAGTCAGCCCTCCACAACAGAAGGAGTCACTCAGCCCTCTTAGGAGGAACCCCTAGAGCCTATAGCTTGGGTGACAAGAGGGGAGTGCACTGCTGGGACGCATAGGATGTCTCCTATAGAAGGCCAGTTTTCCAAGTTTGAGAAATGTAACTAACCTACCACATACATAAAAATACAAATAGCAACTCAGACAAAATGAGGTGGCAGACAAACATGTTCCAGATGAAGGAACAGGACAAAACCCCAGAAGAAAAACCAAATGAAGTGGAGACAGGCAATCTACCCAAGAAAGAGTTCAGAGTAATGATTATAAAGATGATAAAAGAACTCAGGAGAAGAATGGATACACAGAGTGAGAAGTTTTTAACAAAGAGTTAGAAAATATAAAGAACAACCAAACAGAGAGGAAGACTACAATAACTGAAATGAAAAATACACTAGAAGGAATCAATAGCAGACTAAATGATACAGAGGAATGGACCAGTAAGCTGGAAGACAGAGTAGTGGAAGTCACTGCTGCCGAACAGAAAAAAGAAAGAGGGCTTCCCTGGTGGC